GGAGGCAGTGGAAGACAGGAGGGCCTGACGTGCTCTGGTCCATGGAGTCAGGAAGAGTCGGATACAACTTACTGTATTTTTTGCACCATAAGACTCACTTTTTTCCCACAAAACAGGGGTGTGGAAAGTCTGTGCGTCTTATGGAGCGAAGGAAACAGATTATATTTTCCTGTTTTCTTCTCCTAAAAAATTGGTGCGTCTTATGGAAAGGTGCGTCTTATGGAGCGAAAAATACGGTAATGACTAAACAACAACATATTCACCAAGTTCCTTAACTTGTGGTTCGAGAAGGGGAACTAGACTATACGGTGTGTCATCATTGGTAGTAAAAGATTCAGGATGTCAAACAGTGCTCTAAATGCACAGGGCAAGTCAGAAAGCTCAAACTATGTGGGAAATGGCAGATGAAAAATATCTACCTGCGATCCTGGAGCATCTAGGGCAGTGGTTCTCAACCTTGGGTCTCCAAATGTTCTAAGACTAAAACTCCCAGAAGCCTTCACCACTAGCTGTGCTGGCCAGCATTTCTGGGAGCTGTAGTCCAATGACATCTGTGGACTCAATGCTGGGAAGCACTGATTTAACAGATGCCAATTGAAACAGCCTGATCTGCTCCTGCATCATTTGGACTCAAGGCTGGGAAGCACTGATTTAAACAGATGCCAACTGAAACAGCCTGATCTGCTCCTGCATCATTACACAATGTGATCAGCAGAATAAATAATAAACAATTTGAATATCAAAAGATACTTTCTATCTGCTACTGCCTACATATTAGGTATGCTGAAAACAGAGGATACATATTTGTATTCTTTTCCCCAAAGGTCAACCTTCCTATGTCCAAAAATTTTGGTATGAATGATGCAAAAGACTGGATAGAAGGAAAACTAATGGTAGAGTTTAAAGCCCGTACAGAAATATTTCTATTAATAATTTGATACATACATGCTTTTGTTGTAATTAAATGTCAGTACAGCCTCAGGTTCAATTTTCAATACTTCCTGCCTACCAGAAAGAACCACAGGTTAAAAGGAAAGTTTTGGAAAGACCTTGGAGAGCCACAGTTAGTCAAGACAGCTAATAATGGGTTAGATCAGTGGTTCTTAACCTTTGTTACTCAGATGTTTTTGAACTGCAACTCCCAGAAACCCGAGCCAGCACAGTTGGTGGTGAAGGCTTCTGGGAGTTGCAGTCCAAAACTCCTGAGTAACCCAAGGTTAAGAACCAATGGGTTAGATCAACCACTAGTCTGACAGAGCAGATCTCTTTAATTGTGTGGCCAACAGAAATCTGTGCACGCATTGAAAGAAGTTCAACAGGATTATTTTCCAACTGAGGGCATACAAAATGGCAAACTTAGAAGAATGTTGCAGGAAGCAGTCATGAGAGGAGCCAGAATTGTTCATGGCAGAAAACTGTTGCCTGGAGTGAAATAGTCTGAATAGCGTAATTTAAGTTTTGTCACAGAACGATTATGCAAATATTGCTCTTGCTAGGCAAGATTTTCCCCAGCCACTGTATATGAAAAAGGTCACAACTCTAATCAATGAAAACTTTAAAAAAAAAACTTGCTCCTTAACAATTTATTGTCTCTCATGTTAGCATTCGGAAGAAACTGGATTATAACTTTACTAGGAAGATAAAATTTGAGGCCAAACCTCAGGGGCATGGTTTGTGTGCCCTACAAGAGGGTCTTCCAATCAGTTCCCGGTACCTCCTCTTCAAAGGAGCAGACAGCAGATACTGGAGAAAATCTCTCTCTGGGAAATACAAAAGCCACTGCTGGCCATTTCAGGCTAGGCAGACAATTTGGTTCTTTTTGTTTCCTATGGTCCCTATTACTGACTGCAGTCCTAAACTCAGACCCTATTTTTAAAATCACACAGCAAACAACAACATGAGAAACTACAAATGTTACTTTTTATTGGTTATAAAACTTAGGTACTAGCAACCAGGGTTTTCCACTCCTCCCCCATGGAAGGCTTCTTCTCTTTTCTTTACAGTTTCATGACAAGCAGAGGTTTGACAGGATAAGCTTTTTTCTGACATGGAAACAGAAAAAAGGGGGAAAGAAGTTTAGTCCAATAGATTTCAGCCTCCCTTGGAGCTTTTCTACCATTATTGACAGTTCTTAAGACACCCCAGCTTCGGGGAATGGGAGGGTGGGGGAAACTGAACCCAATCACAGAAACTATGCCTCACTTTTGGAGGTTGCTCCTGTCCTTTCAACAGCTTAGAAACAAGTAGTAGCAGTAGCAGTAGTAGTAGTAGTAGTA